GATTCAACAAAATGTATTCAGAATTTATTATTTTATGTGATTTAAAATTTAATTAATAACTTATTCTACTTTAAAATTTGTTATATTGATTCATTTTCTATGATAACAAGCAAGCACTTTGGAGACTATATAACTTTACCTATGTAAACATGTCATTTTATTGACATTTAATTGTCCATTTCCAAACCTCTTAATTTGCAATTGATCGACAAATTAATAAGTAAAGTTAAAAAAGAGATAAGTTGAGTTAATGATTTAATAAGTCAACTTTATGTTGTAATAAGAAACTGATTTAAAAGCTAAAATTATTTCTCTCTCACACACACACACTTTTTTTTACATATTATATGTAAAGTGCTTTTGTGGCTTGATGTTCCTTGTATTTTTGTGTGCTAAGGCCATGGGTTTAAATCCCTTCGGCCACCTCCAATAATTTAATTGGTCCACTGAAGCTTTGGTGATTGTGAGCAATGGAAGATCTGGTGGCTGATGTGATTTGCCCTTTTAGAAAGGACCCAAACATTTGTTTGCTGTTCTTCTTTGGAGTGAATGAATCAATTCTCACAATAACAAACGTAATGCATTTATTAGCTTTTTGGTTTAATGTTTAAAAAGGTCGTTTGAATAAATGTTTTTAATTTAATTGTTTATAAAAATGTTCTCATTTTTTATTTTAAAAACAAAAAAATGAAAATATCTTGAGAATATTTTCATTTTATTTTTTTATTTTTAAAAAACACTACATTTAATTACTAGAAAATATAGTTAGCTTGACCATTTTTCATTCTAAACCACTACCATTAATTGTCTATAACCATCACTATTTTAAATTTTAAAATTATTTTTAAATTAACATAACTTGACAAATTTTCATCTTGTTTTGTTTTGAAATTATTTTTTTGAAAATTATATTACAAAACAATTTTTTTAAAAACAAAAAGTGGAAATAAAAACCAAATGATCAGCTTTTCTAAGTGCACAAAATTGATATAGTAATAATTTTTTGAGTATTCTAAGAGTCGAACTCAGAGGACAACAATGATCTTTATTATTTAAGTAAACAAATAATAATTTTGAAAAGAGATTTAAATTAAATAATTAAATAATATAATTAGATGAGAAAACGATAAACGTGATGAGACAATGAATCAACTAGTCAAATAAACATCAGGAATCAAAATTCACCTATTAAGATAGATTATTCTAATTTAGTTAATTATCTTTCTTCTTTTATAGTGATAATCATTTTTAAGGTGTCTTGATTACCTGTTAGTAGATTAGGATATATTTAATTAGAGTTATATTCAGCTTCCACTAAATTCTACTAATAAACCATAAAGCTATAATCTAAGCCATTACAAACTACTAAATTGTTCTTAATTTAGTTATTTCTGCTTATTTTTTAAGGTCTAGATAAGTTCTTCCCTTTTCAGTTCATCAAACTATCTATAAACAAATTATATATTGGCCATATATATAAAAAGTGATTAAAATTATAGAGATAAATATAAAAAAAACATATATTCTAAAAAAAATTATTGTCCAACCAAAAAAAAATCAAAACTAAATAAATAACACAATTCAACCCATCTAGGCTATTTCTTATCGGAGATCAGCAAGAATCCATAGAGTCAAATTTACAATCCATAATAAAAGACATAAAAAGAATTTAAAAAAGAAGTGAGGAGAGAAAGCTCCCAACTCGAAAGACTCCTTTGGATTGCATGGTATGTCTCCTAACCTTTAAATGTGAGATTGAATTTTTTGAAAGGTTTTTGGAAGGTCTATTTACAATAAATTCAACCCCATAGGCTTAGAATTCATCCAAATTGTGCCTTATCTCATCAGATGTGATGATATCTTATTTAAAATATTTTAAAATATTAATGTTGGTTCTACATCTTTTGTCCCTGCGCAATCTTGCTTATTTTGGCGTGTCCACATGCTGTCTAGTGTTAAATGGCTCAGAATCCCTATTGCGAGTCATGTTGGCAAGGGGGTGAATGCTTCGCATGCTTGTTCGTTAGGGGATAAGGCTTTTTCCCTTAATTTCTTCGTCCTTGACAGGGGCTTCGTGTTTCAAGTTTTTTTTATACTATTTTATCTCTTTTCCTTAAAATTATACCAAAATATTTAGGTGAGGTATTTTATTTAATTTTGTCTTAAATTCATACATTAAATAGTCGGTATGATAGTAGAAATAATATATAAATATAAATAAAATACCCCCCATCACCAAATAGGCACTTAGAGCTATTTTTGTTTTTTGCTTTTCAATTTTAAAGCATGCTCCCTTTAAATTATTTTTATTTGTGGTCAATCACTATCATAGTCCATAGACATCATTCTTAATCACGGATGACTACTAATGCTAACTATTCTTTAACTCTAAAATCATTATTAAATTAACATAATCAAATGAATTTTTATTTTATTTTATTTTGTTTCAAAAGATGTTTAAAAATCAGTTCATAAAATAGTTTTTAAAAAGCAAAAAAGTAGAACAAAACTAAGCAAGCCCTAAATATTTGGCCACAGTGAAGGCACTATTCCAACACCCTATTTTTTAGTTTCCCTTTTTTTGTTGGGTACTTGAGGATTAAAATTTCAAAAATACCCTCAATTCAATTTAACCCTTAATGAAAAAATCAAGTCTTTAATTATATATTAAGGATACATGATATTATATTCTCTCCGTCTTTTAATAATTTTGTGCTTGAAATTTAAACCATATATTGGAATATAATTCTTTCGCATTAACTTCTTTATTTCTCATGAAACATCATCAAATGTGAGCTCTTTTCAAATAACTTTCATTAATTGAATGAGCTCGTTCCACAACTACTTATCATCCACTCCCCCTATTCTTATATATAAGATATTTTTAACTAAATCACATAAATTAATAAAAATTAGTTATCTAATTAAAAGCACATCAACATTTTAGTTTTACCCATAATTATTTTGCGTAAAAAATAAATTTCTTTTTTCAAAATAAATTAATAAGAGTACTTATCTTTTTTTTAATTTAATAAGAGTATAATATCAATTCATTAAAAAAAATATACTAACAACTTCTTATATTTAAAAATAAAAAAATTTAAAAAGATTTTTTACATATAGAGACAGAGATGGAGGAAGTAATGCACTATTCTGAGTATTCTCTCAACTACACAGCTGTATATGAGACATATTTTATTGATACTTCGTTATTAATTGCGAAAATAGAAATCTGGCGTGTATGTCAACAATATTTGACAGTGAAGCTACTTTATAAGCCACTGGCTTGGCTTTGTCCAAGACTTGAAACTGGGTCCTAGTATTTTAGTTAGTTGTGAAAACTTTAATTGAGACTTAAAATGGTTTTTCATCTTAAAGTCAAACTTTTGAGTCTTAATTTGAGACATAAGCAAAGCATATGACATATAATATATCAAGATTTTTTTTGGGTGAAAATATCACTTCTCTTTAACTTAATTATAAAGACATGGGAGATTTATGTTGTTGTCATTGATGGCGTGATATATAAATCTGATTAGAAATTTAATCCATATTATATATTTCAAGAAAAATTACTTCCCAACCGTACCAACTGCCAACTACCGAGTTGAACATTCTTTTCCTTTTATTTAATTAATGATATTAATATTAAATTTTTGGAAAACACATGACTATTAGTTGTTATAGTTTTATTATTGGTTTTTGCATTTTTTTAATGTTCTAAATTCCTATAATTTTGTTTCTTCTGTAATATTAATTTTTTTATTTTTAAATATATTTAGCGGGAAGATATTATATCAACAATGTTAAATTAGAATATTTGACGCATAAGATAAAATACTTGATCCCCAATAACTGAAATTTACTTTTCAACGCTAACAAGCACTTTCACCAAAAGTTTAGAGTTTTTGTCAGAAAGCAATCGTCCCTCTTCTTTAACCTATTGTTAATTCAAATTACAAACTTATTGTATTTTAACTTAGCATCCTTATTAACATTCATAGTTGCACATTTTATAATTTAACAATTTTATTAGTGTCACATTATCATTCTTTTGAACATATTTAAAAGTAGAACGTTGTAGATGCAAAAACTTAGAAGGGCATCAATAACAAAAACGTGATAAAACTATATAACCAAGTTACGTTTTTCAAAGGAGAATGATAAATAAAAACTTTATAAACATATTAATATTAAATTAAAAAAATTTAATACTAAAATATGATAAAAAGAGAACTGAAATTTGAAAAGGTTTGTGTTAAAAAATTTTAATTTGATATTAATATTATTTCAAGGTTTTTATTTGTCAATTTTCCTTGTTTTTTCTTTTAAATTTATCCAGGAGTGAAAAAGAAGCTTAGACGTCGGAAGTCACTCGTGCCACCGTCACCATGAAATCAACAAGAATGCGGCGGTTGGGCTTGTACGTTAGTTTTCCCGCCTCGTCTTCCCGAATCCGAATTCCTCCTTGGTCTGGTTCTTCGTCCTCGGAATCTCTCTACATATCCATGGAAGTTCAAACGTGCTTCTCGCCTTTGAACGCTTTCTGGTCTCTTTGTCGTTTACCACGGCGAAACTGACCGGTAGTTTCAGTTAGACTTCATCTCAGTCCACCATTGAACTCGTGATGACGATTATTGGACCTTCTCTATCGCTCAGCACTTTCATCCTTCTCGACTGTCTCAATAATATTGCAATGACTTTTTTTAACGCTGGCCTTTGTGAAGGAAACTGGGCTCGCAATTTCAGTCTCTCCCTCATCTCAATTATTCTTCTACCTCCTCCACACTGTGCACGACGTGGAAGCTTGTACAACCACACCATGGATGTATTATTTTGCTTATGGTCATGACATTTCTTTCTTGTCATTTTTCAAAGGAGACCAAATTAATTAATTGTGATAGCGAAATTTATCTTTAACCAATGCCACGCCAAATACTTTCTGGCCGCATAAATATTCATGTCTGCACATATATTCTTTTTTCTATGTTGTTTGTGTTGCTTCTGCTGTTTTTCCCCCCCTCCAAATACAAAAAAGCATTTTGGTGGATAAACGGGGAAATCAACCGCTTAATTCGTGCGTACAAGCAAATATCTATTTAATCACTTTTCTGGCCTTTCAAATGAAACGTCTCCTCATTGATTCTCTATTTTAACGCTCAAGCACTCGAGGAAGCTCGAAGCAGGAGAGAGAGAAATATACAGGCACATTGCAGTTCGAGACATTGACGAACGCGATCTTCAGGGGTTCAAGATTTTTCTTCTAAGAGCAAGCAGTGAAGTTAAAGCGTACCAAAACTGTCAAGATTAGGTACATAGCTGAAGCCAATATTATCTTCTTTTGGGCTCTGCCATTTTTTTTTTTCTGGCCAAAAGTAGAGGTAGGAATACATCTCATGAAAGGACTAAATTTTATTTACCCATTAGAGAACTATTGGAGTTTCTCTCTTCATCTTTTCCCCACGCGCCTCTAATTTTAACTTGGCAGTTATACATTATCTCTATCCAAACCCCTTCAAATAGTCAACTTCACTTTGTGAGAAAGGTATCGCACTATGTACAAGATTTCAAATTTTTTTGGGCATTTTGATTATTCCTTTAGGAATTATTGAACACATACATAAACGTTATTTTTTTGCTGCTGATTCTCAATTATGTGATTTACTGCTTCAATTATTTATGCAAGTGTTATGACACTTCCTGCAGGATTTTTGCACTTTTTAGGATTTTGATTGTTATTTTATACTAAGTCTTTTAATTTGCACTTTTCTGCTGATATAGATTTATTTCGTCTAATATTTTATGTTCATAAATACAAGTCTCCTTGGAAAATTCCATGGTGGGTGTATCTGTAATGGTGGAAAATCTTGTTAGCCTCCCAAAGAGCAGTTTTTAGAGGCTGAACATGTTCAGTTTTGAATTTGGCAGGTTGTACTCTCAAGTCTGTACTCATTGTTGGAGGAATAGTATAAATGGAGAAGCACAAGGAGAAGCAGAGATCATCTGCTAATGATGATCATAATGCTGGTGGATTAGCATTCGTTTCCTTTTATTCAGAAGATAGCAGGGAATCTGTGGACAAGTGGATGGCATTTCCTAGCAAATCAAATTTTGCCAATTCTAGCAACTCAGCGAATATGGATGATTTTGGGGCTAAGAATGAAAAGAAAGACAGTGATGCAAGGGAGCGTCTGAACGAGCAAAAGCCTTTGGATCATCAAATTTTAACTGAAGCAAGCATAGCTGAGAGAACTGCTGAATGGGGCCTTGTGATGAACTCAGGTAGTTTTAAAGCAATAGAAGGAGTGACAACCAGTTCCTCCTTCGATGGTGAAAGAGGCAAAAATTTGTCAGATAGATTTACTGCAGCAGTATCAACAAGGACATCTGAGGAATCAAATTATGGGTCAGAGTCATCATCGGGGGCATTTCCAAGGGTATCACAAGAGTTGAAGGAAGCCTTGGCGTCACTACAACAGACATTTGTTGTCTCAGATGCAACTAAACCAGACTGCCCCATAATGTATGCCAGCAGTGGATTTTTCGGTATGACAGGTTATTCTTCAAAGGAGGTCATTGGAAGGAATTGGTGAGCACGTTACTCCTTATATAAGATGGAAAGATCACAATGTCAGCCTAGATCCTTGACTAGCAATCGTTCCCAAAAGCTGTGAAGTATTAACTAAACTAATGCAACCTTAATCTGTTTTGGTGAATTATTCTACTCGCATTAAGTTGAGTTGTGGAGATTTTGTGGGAGGAAGAGCCTTGTCATTATAACACGTGTAAAGCTAAAAATTTGGTTGTTTTGAATAAAAGCAGTTGATTTCTTGTTGCAGCCGGTTTCTTCAGGGTCCCGAAACAGACCAGAAAGAAGTAGCCAAAATTCGAGATGCAGTTAAGAATGGGAAAAGCTATTGTGGCAGGCTTTTAAACTACAAGAAAGATGGAACCCCATTCTGGAATCTTCTCACTGTCACTCCTATAAGAGATAGCCAGGGCAATGTCATCAAATTCATTGGGTCAGTTTACCTTTTCATATTTAGTTCTTCTTACCTTACATATTGATTATCATAGAAATTACGTATGCTGATTTTTTTAGTTTTTAATTTTTAATAAATTTATCTGCTCGATCTGCTTGTTTTTCTTATTTGTAAAATCACACATAATCCAAGCGTCCAAGTGCTAGTGTGTTTAGCCTAGATTAATGAACCAAGGAGGGATTATATAATGGGGTCTAAATGGTTTGAAATATATGATATGACATCGAGAATACTTTCATAGTAAGAAAATGTCTAATTCTAGTTTTTATTTTGTTGAAGGAGGCTAAATGCATGAGAGAATGATAGAGAGATTCTAAGAGGATCAATTAATTTAAATTAAATCCCAAGTGTTAGACTTTAGGAATTTGCAAGTTTGGCTCTCGATTTTGCAATTTCATTGTGATGAATTTGCAACTTGTGTTCCAAATTTTAATGGGAAAAGAAATTTTTTTATTCTTCAACCATGTTAAAATTTAGAAAACAAGTTGCAAATTTATTACAATCAAGTTGCAAAATTGAGAGACGAATTTGCATATTCTTAGAGTTTGGCACTTGGGATTTAATTTAAATTAATTGATCCTTTTGGAACCTATCTATCATTCTCCCTAAATACATTGATAGTTATAGATTCAAGGGCAGTTACTCTGTGACAAAAATTAGAATCATAAGATTCTGTAAAACAGCCTTAGGATTGCTTAAACTAACTTAACAAGATCCACTACATAGGCTAGATTAGCTCTTGTATGGGACAAATAAATCATCTTCACCACAAGACTCAGATAACACCTTTATCAATTGGTACATCTCAAATAATAAGACTCAAGTCTTGTGATATTCATTTTTGCAATTGGGACAAAAGTTTCCTCAGAATCAATGCAGTAAGTCTTGAGTATACCTTTTATTGACATTCCAAGCGTTATATCTCTTTAAAGGGTTATATGAATATACCTATCTATGATCAACAGATTTCTTCCCTATTAGTAGCTTTACCAAGTCTCAAAATTTTCCCCTCAAATACGTCAATGTCAGCCTTCATTGCATGTATCCAATTTTTACTTCTGATGTATTGGATAACTTTTTAGGAATAGGGATGGCATGAGGATTAGTGAGAAATGTTCTATGGTTAGGTGACAAATTCTTGTGTGAAAGAGTAAGAAACAAAGTGTAGTGGCAAGGTTTAGTGCAAAAGCTGAGTATCTTATATGGCTTTAGCAGCATGTGAGCTTATGTTTATGAAGCAACACATGCTGGAATTAGAGTTTGAAAGTACCAATCAAATAGTGTTGATAACCAAGTGGCAATCTATATCGCTTTTAATCTAGTGTCTCATTAGAGGACCAAGCATATCCATTGTCAACAAGGGAGAATATTCAGTATGGGCATCTAGGTACAAAGTTTATCATTTCAAATGACCAACTAGTGGATGTATTCACTTAGTCCCTTTAGGGTTCTCAAATTAAGTACATACATAACGAGATTGGTGCACATGATTTATATGCTCCAAAACCCTAGTTGTTTTCTAACACCAGTGCCTTCTGTAAGAAGTTTATTTCAATATAAATAGACAGCTTATTTTCAATTTGATAATTGCTTGGTTAGCTATTTAAATTAGTTATTTCATAAGAGTAGGTATAGATATACATTCAAATTTAAATATCTTGTCTTCTTGCCTATTTCTTCCTGATTTAAAGTTAGGAAGTTTTTACCACCCTTATGTATATGTATCTGCCGACATGGATAAAATGCACGCACTATCTTCTCTACCTGTCATCTCTCAAAATTTACACGAAGGATGCTCAATGCACTTTCTTGTGCTCTTTTATAAGGCAATAAGAATATCATCATGATGTGAAAGTGTTTCAGGAAAGGATGAAATACTTTTAGGATCAAAGTAGATGATTGGGTTCACTCTGGCTGGGAGATTAGTTTTTCTTTTTCCCAACGGTAAACTTGTGATGGACAAATAGTACTGAGTTTGCTTAGGCTACAAATTTGGCCCAAGTAGAGTGATTGGATGTGAGGTGTGATCTAATGACCCAATGGCGAACCTATGTTGTGGTAAGAGTTGGCACTTGCCCCCACTCACTTTTGCAAAAATTACATGAAAGGCATGTAAAATTTACCTTTTTTGACCCACTAGTTTTAATATTTTGACCTCCCTGAGTTCCAATTCTAATAGTTTGTCCTTTTGCCCCCACCAACCTAGGGTCTTGAATCCGCCTTGGAATTTCTCCACTCTTGAGGATTTCAATCACTCTTCGAATTTCCTTTCTAGTTCCTCCTCCTCCTCCTCCCCACCCCCTTTTTAACCTGAATGAAAGTGAAAGTGATGAGCTTCATTTCCTTTTATCTAGTGTAAATGGCATGAGAGCTTGAAATCCTAAGTCTCCTGGTATTTTTATTGTCTCAAATCATAGCCATATTCTTAATATGGAAGAGTGTTCTTCTTTATAAGCCTATTTGGAACCTCGAGCTTTGTCTGGTAAGCAATACTCCATAGGTTGACCAATTGCAGGTTTGCAGACTAGTGTGTAATGTTTAGATCTGATTTTGTAGCTCTCTCTTGTTTATTTCTCCATCATCCAACAATGACTACCTTTGGTACAGCCTATCTAGCACCTTTGGTGAAACTGAATTTGTCTTAAAACTTTGGAGAAGTTTCTCCTTAGTCGTTTCAAAGGCTTAAAGAAGGACAAAATATTGTGGCTATGTTTGATTTATGGGATCCTCCTGTTTGTGTGGTTAGATCAGTGGCATATTTTTGCCAGTATATATGCTTTGGGAATAAAATTGTTTGTAAGGCTCTATTTAGTGTTCTACATGGGGGTATTTAAGGGAGTGCTGTTATGCGGACAGATCAATCAGCTTTAGCAGGACCCTTGCTCCATTTTAGTTTGAGGCTTCCTTGTTAAAGTATATTTTAGGGTATCTTATTTTCCTTATCCATCTGATAATTTTGTGTAAAAGATGACTAAATAGATGAAATATGTTTAGTACAGATTGAAGTACTAAATGCAGGTGGACATTTTGCTTATTACACTTGCAATGTACTTAATACATCCATCTGATGATTTTGAGGAAAAGATGATGAAATAGATTAAATGTGTTTAATACAGCTTAAAGTGTTTTATACTGGTACACATTATTTTATTACACCAGTAATGTATTTGAACACATAGACATGTGCTTGATACAGCTACTACTGCAGAATGCAGGTTGAGGTGAGCAAATACACTGAAGGCATAAATGAAAAGGCATTACGGCCAAATGGATTGCCTAAGTCATTAATTCGTTATGATGGTAATCATGGTTAGCCATTCTTGTGCCATTTCTGATTATATGTTTACCATAATAATTAAATTTTAATTTTCAGCCCGTCAGAAGGAGAAAGCTTTGGGTTCCATCACAGAGGTTGTCCATACTGTCAAGGACCCAAAATCCATCATTCGGTCTGTGAGCCATGATAATGCCAGTAAGGTTGAAGAGCTAGAAAAAATCAGTTCTGATTTTGTTTTGCCAAAGTCTGTTGAAATCGAGAGTACTAGTTCAACAAAGAGACAAACTACTTCACTAGACTTCCAAGGTGATAAAAGCAAAAGGAAGTCAGGGCGCATTTCTTTCATAAGGTACATATTTCTTTTTTGTTATATCAAATTGTGCTTTTATTCCTCATATTTTCAGTTGACTCATTGACTGTACTTCTTATGGAATTGGGGAAGAATGTTTGCTTGGTTCTTTTGTTTTTTTTTTCCTTGGGAGATATGGATTAGAATATGTTTTTGACATGTCTTACATTTTACTGCAGTTTCAAAGGGAGATCTCAAAGCTCTACAGGGAAGCATGATGAAAAGCCCATTGTTGAGCCAGAGGTTTTGATGACTAAGGACATGGAATGTTCTGACAGTTGGGAGCGTCTTCAAAGGGAAAGGGATATACGGCAGGGAATTGATCTAGCAACCACATTGGAGCGTATTGAAAAGAATTTTGTGATTTCTGATCCTAGACTTCCAGATAACCCAATCGTATGATAAGTTTCGTTTCCTATTTGCTCGGAAGCATTAGGTGCTACTATTATTAATATGGCTGGATTATCTAATCTCTAATTCTATCTATAAAAGCAGTTGGCAGAATCATATATGGGATTAGGAATCCTTTTCTTCATCTCTTTATTTTGTAGTGGTCAATGAATCACATTCTGGGAGTTGCCACAAGGCCATATTGAAAATTTAATACAACGTATTTTAATTCCTCATACAGTGATTAATGACAGATATTTTCTGTCTCCTTTTTTGAAATGTGTATTGAAAATTATCATAGTTGGAAATTAGACACTTCTGACGATAAAATTCAATGAAATGAGGATGACTTGAGTTGATTACTGAATTTCTTATGATGAAATTAACTTATCTTTAGCTTTTTATGTTAATGTTGGAATTATAATCAAAATTTGATGATGCTGTTTATAATATTTTGTAGAACAATAATATAATGCAAAATAGATGGTTATGAAGATTTTATGCATGATTTTCTTTTTATTACTTTTTACTTAACAAATTAGAAGTCTTGGTAAAGAAGGTCTAGTTTTAAGGATGTGACTGCATTTTACTCATTAAAAGTTTATTTAATTGTTTTCAAGCAAATGTCTGGGATATAAAACTCTGATTCTGTGTTTATTTCTTGGCATATAGGACCACTAACCACATTGTAAAATATCTGTCATAACAGCTTCTTTAGACATTTTTCTTAGTTGTGGGATTATATAGCAGCACAACAAATTTGGCTCCAGTAATTGATAGTAATAATCTAAATTATCAAGATTGACATTATATATACACATTTATTATGAATACACAAACAGCCATCTATCTAGTGAGTAAGGAAATTTTTGTAATGGTTTGATTTTACCTTTTGATGACTATAGTTGGTGCCTTGTGCAGATATTTGCATCCGATAGCTTTCTTGAACTTACAGAATATACGCGAGAAGAAATTTTGGGAAGAAACTGTCGGTATGAATCATACAATAGTTTGTTTATACTTTCACTTTGCATTCATGTCTTGTAGTGATATTCACCTTTACTCACTTCATGTATATTAAGTTATTTTTCCCCTTTTACTCTTCTATTTATGCACCCTACCTAGTGGCATAAGGCTTCTTGTTGTTGTTGTTGTTGGTGGTGTACTCTTCTATTTATGTCACTCTGCTGGCTAGATTTAATGCTTTGCTTGTTGCCTTGTGTTATATATTGAGTTGCGGGAACCATGTAAAGTCATATAATGTTTTGTGTAGTCCCTTATATCTCTTAGGTAGTCACTTCTATTATTATATTTTGATGATATGGATTTTTTTGAAGTGGAAAGGAGATAAGAAAGAAATTCTTTGAAATGTTAAAATTTTATCAAGCGCCTTTAAGGTGTTTGGTATTTCTCTTCCAGTACTATTCCATCATCCAATATCCTTCAAAATTAAGAGCCTACAATCTTTATGATACTCTATGTTTACTAAGACAAATGAAGACTAATTGTATAAGATTGACATAACATTTTATGCTAATCAATCTTTGCCTCTGATAACATGGTGTACATGAGTGGCTAATAGTTAAAATTAGCATATTATATTCTGTTGGACCAGGTAAATGTCTCCTTTGGTCTTGCTAGGTTTTTCTTGTATTCATGAACTTCTTTTTTTTTTCCAGATCATTGACATTATAAACACTTCATTCATTATGCAGGTTTCTTCAAGGACCAGAAACAGATCAAGCAACTGTCGCAAAGATCAGAGATGCTATCAGAGAACAGAGGGAAATCACTGTTCAGCTGATCAACTATACCAAGAGTGGTATACATGTGTTCCATTTTTTTCAAATTTATTAGAGACAATGAAATATTTGAGAGAGAAGAATAAGATAGTCTACTTAGAGAAACAAAAAATAGCAAGCCTAAAATTTTTTTCTCTTATAATTTGTAGGAAAGAAGTTCTGGAATTTGTTCCACTTGCAGCCTATGCGTGATCAAAAGGTAGCTATAATATTCTTCAAGGGAACAATAAAGTTGCACATGAAAAATTCAATATTTTATCTGATATTTTGTCTTTCCCTTTTTTCCCCTTTCAATCAAATTTTACTTTAGGGTGAGCTTCAATACTTTATAGGCGTCCAATTGGATGGAAGTGATCATGTAGAACCTTTAAGAAACCGCCTATCTGAGAAAACAGAGCAACAAAGTTCTAAATTGGTGAGTAATTTTTTCTTTCACATCTTATTATTGTTTCTCAGAGAACTCTGTCATTTTCTTGTTTTCTTTTTCATTATTATTATTTGTTATTTTTTCATCTAATCATTTTTTATATTTTATGTGCTTGTAGATCTTGTGTACATGAACTGATCTGAGATAATGTGATAGCTTCTCTTGTTTTTGTTATTTAACTTCCTAATAGCTTGCTGTCCAGGAATATATTCTTTACAGATAAAACTTTCAAATGGATGTCAATTATTTTCCAGTTCTATTTGTCAATATATTGAGATTTCCAAGGCACTTTCCCAAAAAAAAAAATTCTGTAAAATGGACATTCAGTAATACAATTATTATTAGTTTGGACAAAAAATTAACTACGAAGGGCAAACAAGTGACATGACATGGACGAAAGAAAAAATGATGTGGCATTGCTTGCACATAATTTGGGCATATATGTGCTATATGCTTGGCATCGTAGATGTGCTATATTGAAATCTATTTTTTTACACCCTTTTTTTTTTATCTACCTCTAAACAAAAACACAACTAGCATTGTCCTATATTTTCAGTAAACTTACTCTGCATCTGTCTCTGTTATCAGGTCAAAGCAACTGCAGAAAATGTTGATGAGGCTGTCCGGGAGCTTCCTGATGCCAACTTGGTAAGGTATCCCTATTTGGCTGTTGTTTAGATTTATAACATTTTTTGAATTTTTGTCAAATAACTGATGTTTCATTTAACTTTCTGCTACCAAAAGATATCAATCAGTATACAAATGATGCTGTTCTGAATATCGAGAACTTATTCAACATAATGTAATTTTCCATTATCATAAGAGATAGTAAAAACCTCCATATACACCACTTTTGTATTGCTATAATGGTTCTATGTGAAAAAATATGGTCTAGCAGGCAATATTGCTTTTCAACTACTTTGGGGTTGATGTGGATTTTTCTTATTTTAAAACAAGTTTTTTCAAATAGAGTTTTACAAGGACTACTGGAGAGAATCGGCTCTGTATTTAGCAAAATCATAGGAAAAGTGCTTTTATTGATGTGTTATGTTTGGAATTTTTTTATATAAAATACTTGTGTCAAATTACTATAATGTGCATATTTGCCTTTGAGTGAGAGCAGATGTTTGGTATATAAAGAGGGTAGATGTTAGGTGAAAATATTGGCGGTAACTAATGATTTTTCGTGAGGATATTTTTTTCTTCAATAAAAAAGTTGTCAGCTTCTGCTTTGGAGAAGAAATTTGAGTTTCTGTTTTATTCCTCAATGGAAAAACTGCTGTTTGTTTTACTCAAAAGTAGTTTTTTTTTTAATTTTATTTCTTTACATAAGAATTGGCCAAACAGGTATTTTTTTTTAATTAAGTACTTTTAACCCAAAAAAAAAAAACAATTTCTCCCACCTCAAAAGCTAGGCCGAACTAGCTCTTAGAGAGGATGGTTGATGTAGGATTTAGGCTATTTGGTTTTCTTATGCTTTTGTCGCACATCAATGAGTATGTAGCTCTTATCTTGTAGAGACCGGAAGATTTGTGGGCAATTCATTCTCAGCCTGTCTTACCAAGACCTCATAAAAAGGAAAGTTCTTCTTGGATGGCAATACAGAAGGTATTGATTTGACACTTGTGAACTTCTTCCTGCAGTATCACATATTCACATTATTTCCATTTTTTTTCTATTCCCATGAGATTGCTAGACCTTACAGAAGAGAGTGGCTCCATAGGGCTCATACATGGTGTAGATCCAGTGAAAAATGTATTTGATTTATTTTGTAATAGCTCTATGGAAATGGTGTCTTTTTCTACCATGAATTTGGAAACTCCATAAATTATTCCAACAATGAAGCAAAAGGGGAGGAAAACTGGAGAGTACAAAATACTCTCGTTGGGAGCGTGGTGGAGATTAACAGCTACAGTGACATTTTAAATTCTCTCTCAAATTCTACAGTTAGCTATATGAGGCTAAGCCCCGTAGATATTGACTCATTTATTTTAGTCTAGCTGTTCAATTTACTCTGAAATCTATAATAATAATTCAGATCCTACAAGGCATCAAATTATTTTGGATGTAGTTTTATAATGGATTTAAATCATTTTATTTGTGTTCATTTGTAATATTTGTTTGATTGAATTGATCATTGTTGTTTTAGTGGTTATGGTTCCAACTGTGCATCCATAACGTGATAGTCACTTCATAATTTAGCATGTCTACTTATGAATGCTTGAGTTATTTATAAACGTTCTATAGCAAATTTATTTTATATCTTAATAATATTTTGTTTATCCTATTCTTTGGATTTTTAGTTAACTGCAAGTGGTGAAAAAATTGGACTGCATCATTTTATGCCAATAAGGCCATTGGGTTGTGGAGATACTGGCAGGTACTTTTTTCCTTTTAATTTTTTTACTCACCCTACTTGATAGGTACAGTTGGAATTAGTGGCATGCACTGGACTTTACATTAACTTAATTTTTTACCTAATTCCTTTATGCCTTTTGTACATTGCTGGTTGTCACATTTTGATTTTACTTTGCATTGATTACATTTATTTAAATTATATATATATCTTTAACATATTGCTGTTGTGTTCCCTTTTCTTTTCCATTCTACAATAGAAATTCCTTTGTACCAAACATGCCCTATATAATGCATTTACTGCACAACAATGAAATTAATATCTTCAGGATTTTGCATCAATTTGGTTACAATATTGACTGTATAGGCAATGAAAGAGGAGAGAGAGAACAAATTTGACAGGTTCCATATATGTGTATATTTATAGTGAAACTTAGGTAGAGTACAAGAGGCACAGTACTAGTATTCACCCAACCTATTGGTTATTTGTTTTAACCTAGCCACTCTTCTTACTTCAACACGATTGATGAGTTCGAGTTCAAGGTTATGGTGCTTTACTATATCTTATCAGTCTCCTGGTAAATGAGATGCCTTGCTTTCTTATCAAATTGTTGTTTTGTTTTACTGCTACAGTGTTCACCTTGTGGAGCTTCAAGGTGCAGGTGAACTATATGCAATGAAGGCAATGGAAAAATCAGTCTTGCTAAATCGTAATAAGGTCTGGATATGTAAGAAAACCACTAGGTTTATTCTTTAAAGGGTTCTTGCATACATCATTGTAAGTAGTGAAGATAAATGAATTGTGATTGAACAATATGAATGATATATGCCTTTCTAGAGGTTCAAACCTTTAAAAAAAAATTGTTTTCCTATCAACTTTTCTCCCACTTTCAAACATTTCTTCTTTATGAGATATTGTCAACTTTTTAACATTTTTTGGTTGGTAGTACTCCCAGCTGGAAAAGTGGAAGTTAACTATGATACATGACCTTACTATGTATGTGTCTAGTGGGTACCTAAGTAGATGGGGGACCCTATCCCAAAAGTTAGTTGTTGAGATAGAATAACCAACCTACTTGAATACCCCATTGAGCATCCCATATCACTTGATATGGGACTTGGTATCCCATATTATTAAGTCTCCATTGATTGGCTCCTCATGAAAAGCTGACATCCCGTTTGTTGCACTCTATGACACTTAGCTCGACTTCTTGCCAGTCAGAACCCTCCATGGATAGCCCTGTTCGGAACCGCCAACAACCAAGTGCTGATACCAGTTGATGGATACCTAAGTAGGATAAAGAACCCAACCCCAAAAGCTAGCTATTGAGATGGAAGCTCCAACCCACTTAAATACCCAATTGAGCTTGGTATTCCATACTACTAATTCTCCATCAGGGATCCTTGAGATGATTCATACACCTACATATCAACACAAAGTCGATATCCTAACAAAAGCTATTTCAAGAACCCATCTTGATGTTCAACAATCTAAACAAGGGCATCTTAAGAGGGATTGTGGAGTTCCTAATTCTCTGTTTTTTTTTCCTTTTACTTTTATGGAGTTTACTGTAAATAAACTAACTCATAAGGTGAACCACAATGAATTTCATTTAACTCTAGGCCTATAAATAGTTTGTCAATGTATCCAGAAGTATTCATTCAATAATCAAATACAAGTTCCCAGATTGCCATTCACTTTCAATCCAATTTTTCAACTAGGGCAAGATGAAGGTCATTTATTTCTGCCATAACCCCATTAAGAATTTTAGAGACTACATAAGGAAAAACAATAAGAACAAGAAGAGGAAACAAGATATACCTGTTAAAGAAAATGGCAGACCATGAATGTTTATTCTGCATTTCAATATTTTATACTTGTTTATCATCTTATTATGTAGATCATATAGGAGTATATATAGTTATTAGGTTCATTCTATATAATAGAAACAAGACATAGACGCTGATAGAGTTCAAGAATTAGAACATATATATATATATATATCATTTCTTAGGGCCTATAACATAGTCTATTGGAAGGGAAATGGTGTAAGAAAGAGACTAAAGAATTATCTTCTAGTGGATAAGAGAATTACCTAAAGGTGGAAAGTGATGTATGAATAGGGATTAGTTACAGCTAGATTATGTTCAACCTTTTGTAAGTTTTTTAGTCTTTAAACCTTTCCTTTTATGTAGAGGGAGGGGGTGGAGTATTTTGAAAATTGTGAGTGGTGAGGAGAGCTGATGTAAAACACAAACACTCACACTCACACTGATTTGAACAGAATAGGATAAGGGAGAAGAAACAGAAACAGAGAGTGGGAGGCGGAGGGGAAGTGAGAACAGAGAAGGTGAAAAGAGAGAGAAGTGACTGAAATATGAGAGGGAGAACAGAAGAGAGATGCAGAACTGAAGAGAGAGAGGGAGCTTTCAGAAAATCATAATGCTTCAAACATTCATTCCCCTTCCTGAATACAAGTCATGCTATTTATAAGCATGAGGTTTCCTTCCTAACAAGGAAACATCCACTTGCTGCCTAGTTTCCTTCACAAGAAGGAAACTTACAAAAGTTAATAAACTAATGAAAAGTAATAAGAATCCACTTGCTGCTTGGTTTCCTTCACAAGAAGGAAACTTACAAAAGTTAAATGAAAAACAACAAAACTAATAAACTAATGAAAGGCAATAAGAAGTAATAAATTATTTACTCCTAAAGTAATATTTGCCATATTTTCTATCAAGAGCTCTAGCCTCTTGAATGCCAGATTGGAGTGGAGGAAGATTGATGGGTATTTAAGTAGGATGGGAAGCCCTACCCAAAAAGTTAGCTATTAAGGTGGGAGAATCAAGTCACTTAAATATCACATTGAGCATCCCATACTACTCAATATATGTCTCCATCAATTGGCCCCTTATGAAAAGTTGACATCTTGGTGGCTGCACTCCATGACACTTAACTTAGCTTCTTGCCAGTCAAAACCCTCCATGGGTAGCCCACTTCAAAGCTGCCAATGGCTGGGCTTTGATTTTAATTGATGGGTACCTAAGTAGAATGGGAAACTCTACCCCAAAAGTTAGCTGTTGAGATAGGATAACTAACCCATTTGAATACCCCATTAAACATCTCATACTACTCAATGTGAGACTTGGTATCCTATACTACCAAAACTCCATCAAAGACTATCTTTCTTCATCATTTTATCTTCTATTTAGTGTGTGTTGGTGAGTGGCTTGTGTTTTGTGATTATGTTCTGTGGGTGTATTTTGTGTTGTTTCTTTGTAATTGTAATTTTAGTGTATGAGCATATGGGGAGATAAGATTATCTTGAATCATTATTTCTCTTGTAATCCAATTTAGATATTTAGTAACAGTATTTTTAGTTCCATTTGAAGAGTATTTTCTGGATTTTGCTAGTTTTTAGCATGTTAGAATTAGTCCTATCAATTCTCTTTTCTATTATTGTTTGATAAAATCATGTCAATCTCAACATGATTGGTTCATGATTGATCGGCTTCTTTGCAATGATTGTTGCTGCTTGGTTGTCACACAATAACTTTATAGATAATGAAGTAGAAAATTAAAGTTCATGATGGAGCCTTTTTAACCATATACTTTCTTATATTCCATCAATCACGGCTCATATATTGACTTCAATGCTTCTTCAGGCTATAAATTATTGTTTCTTATTTCTCCAAGTAACAATATTAACCCTAACATAGCTACAATGTCCTAAGGTCCATCACCTATCAATGAGAGATCCAATTTAATTTGCACCCGATAACACCTCTATACTTCTGCTGGTTTCTTTCTTGAAAAGAAAATCCTTTATTGGTGTCATTTTTAAGCATGTGAGGATTTAATTTACTGCTTCACCCCTAGCTTAAAATAATAAGCAAACATGGATTTTATTTTTTAAAAAAATTTTGACTGTATAATTTTAAACTTAGAGATACTATGGATGATAATGTACTGAAAAACTTCACTTTTCTACATGGGCACTTGAGCTTGCGCATTTTGCTAGCACAGATTTTATCCTGTTCCTGAGAGTAGTAGTAGATTTATCACATTGATTATACTTAGATGGAATGAAATAATTGCTATTTCAGGTTCATCGAGCATGCATTGAGAGAGAGATTATATCATTGCTGGACCATCCTTTTCTTCCCACTCTATACACTTCTTTTCAGGTATACTTACTAATTATCTATATCTTCTATTACCATTTTCAACTCATCTCTACATGCTATGAGTGCAGGTATCCTTCATGCTTAGCTGCCTCTGCTTATGTTAGAGTCTATTTTTCTTGTTCAAGAACATTAAAGTTCTGAAAGAAATACAATGGAGCTGTAGGATAACACATCCTCTTTTACTATACATTAATTTAAATTAGTTATATTTATTGTCTTAGCTAGTTATTATCTCAATAAATTGGTTATTTAGCAAAAAAGGGATATATACATATAATGTATATACACAAATATAATATACCTTATTGCTTCCTAATTTAAATTTAAGAAATTGTCACCGCTTGTTCATGCAGGTCTGTATTCACCTACTTGAATAAAGTATACATGCTATTCTCTCTCCCTCCCCCCCTCCTCTCCCTCCCTCCCCTTTCAAATTTTACAGAACGAAATAGAGGAGTTTTTATTAGGATCATGGCAACAAGTTTGTCATTATAATCATATGAAATCAGTGAGAATAAATTATAGAAACAGTTAACAGATATGTGAGATTATCATAATAACCAACAAATGTTCTTTGGGAAAGGATAGGCTTTGTTATTGTTATTTTTTTCTATATGGATTCATTCTCTTGGTCTTGTAAGGGGATTTCTATTTATAAATATAAAGATAACTTGGAGGAGCTCTTTTGAGCTGGTATCATGATAACCATATGCATTGTGCTTCTGAAAAAAAATCTTCTGCTACATTTTATATATTCATGTCATTAGCTTTGTCATACATTTAGTCACAAATGCTTTTCAATCTTGTCAACTTATGGTACTTTATCTATGTTCTAATGTTTTCTTTATCTTCACAGACTTCTACACATGTATGTTTGATAACAGACTTTTACCCTGGTGGTGAATTGTTTGCATTGTTAGATAAGCAACCTATGAAGATTTTCAAGGAGGAATCGGCAAGGTATTTTTGTTTAGAAATTTTCTCATAACTTGTGCCTTACAATTACTTGAAATTGTCAGGCAGTGTAATTGGGTTTTGAAGTTTGATTTGTTTTCCAATTTTTTTCCTTCTCTTTCTTTGCTTTCTTCTCTCTAGGAGGCTGTCTAAACCTTATTTTTTGTAATTTTGCTTCTTCTAAATAGAAGTCTTCAATCAACAACAACAAGCCTTTATCCCACTAGGTGGGGTCGGCTACATGGATTGCAAGACGCCATTGTGCTCTATCATTTATTAAGCTTTTAGAAATATTATTAATTAAGAGATCACGTTCAACAACTTCCAAGAGTGTTCTCTTAGGCCTTCCTCTACCTCTCTTAATCGGACTCAAAGTTATATGTTCCACTCTTCTCACTGGTGCCTCCCTTGGTCTTCTTTGTACATGCCCAAACCATCTAAATAGAAGTCTTCAATCAAAAAAGAGAAAAAGACTACTAATTTTACCCACAGCAAAGGTTAAATATGGATAAATTCTATCATGCAAATGCTGCTTATCGACTTGTCTTCTCATGTGCTATAGAAATTGTTGGCAATCCATAAGTTTTGGCTCACATTTTTGAATTCAGTAAGTTATCGTTTGAAACTTAATGGTCATAAATGCTATAGGAATAGATGGCTATTGATGTATGAGAATAATTCGGACTGGTAGAGATTGGGGAAAAATTAGGAGAGATTGAGAGAAGAATAGGGAAGGTAGGAGAGACGAAGAGGAATTAGAGATAGAGAAGAGAATATGCTGAATAGCATGCGAGTCTACATTGACCAATCTTAATGCTCACAATTTGAGTTGCCGGTATTTATAGGGATAGGAAAAATAACTAACAGCTACTAACGGCCACACATATTAACATCTATACAAACTAACTGATGTCACCATTATAAAATGATAACAATACCCCCCCCAAAAAAAAAAAAAAAGATTCTTGCCCTCAAGGATCATTTACAACAAATTGAGAAAACTTTTGTTGAAATTGATACAAAGGCATATAAGATGCTTCATCATCTAGCATTTGTTTCCATTTAACTACAATTTCAGTGATAATTCATCCCTCCTTTCAACCCACCCTTTTCTGCAGAATTTGTTCAGGTTCTACTATGGCTGGAATTTCTGGCCAGTCAAGTGGTGGATGCCTTTGCTTACTTTAAGATCATGCCATAGCTTTAATAGAGAAACATGGAAGGTTAGATGTATTCTAGATTTTAGTGGCAGTTCTAACTTGTAGGCAACTACACCAATATGTTTTACGACTTGTAGGGCCCAAAATATCTAGGAGCCAATTTTTGAGTACTACTTGCAGCTCCAGATATTTTTCTATAGGGCTGCAACTTAAGAAAAACCCACTGACCAACAACAAACTCACAATCTGTTTTCTGGGAATTAGCTTTCTGCTTCATCAAATTGGCTGCACGATGTAGATGATGCTTTTAAACAGCTATCACTGCTTCTCTTGCTGAAAAAGACCTGTCTAAAACATCTAAAACAGAACTATTAGGCAAATAAAGACAATGAATAGGGGCTTTTTGACCATACAAAAGTTCATGTGAAGTCACCTTAGTTGCTATTTGAAAGGTAGTATTATACCACCATTTAGTTTGTGACACCCATTTGCTTCAGTCCTTCAATCGTTCCCAGTACATACACCTTAGAAGGTTTATAGACACCTATTTAAGACTTCTGATTGCCCATCCATTTGAGGGTGATAGGCTGTAGAAAGTTGCTATTTAACTCCTTGAATCTTCAAGAATGCCTTCCAAAAACTCTCATAAAGATTGGGTCACTGTCACTTATAATTTCAGCAGGTGCGCCATGAAGTTTATAGACATAATCCATAAAAGGTTGTGCTAGAGAAGATGCAGAATAAAGATGAGTGAGAGGGATGAAATGAACATACATACTCATTCTGTCAATTACGACCCAAATTGTATTCTTACCAAGAGATTTGGGAAGCCCCTCAATAAAATCCATGATAATACTTTCCCAAATTTGACTGGGAATGGGAAGAGTCTGTTATAGTCCAAGGGTTGCAATAGCTTCATACTTACAAAAGGCACAGGTATCACATTGTTTGATAAAATCTGTCACATCATTGATATGCTTTTTCCACCAAAATAGTGCTTTAATCCTGTGATAAGTAGCCTGAATTCCTGAATGTCCCCCTTGAGGACTAGAATGTAGCCACTCAAGAATTTGCTACTTCAAGATAGGATCACGTCCAATCACTAACTTCCCTTTCCTCCTCAACATGTCATCATCCCAAGAGAAATGACCCCAAATCCCATTATTCTCTTGAACTTTCTTCTGTATAGCTGCAATTATAACATCATTCTACTAACTTCTTTTAACTTTTTCAAGCAACTTTGGGGAAGAAGTATCTAAAACTATCATCATTAATTGCTTTCTTGGCATACGAGAAAGAGCATCCACTGCTGAATTTTCATGCCCCTTCTTGTATTGAATTTCATAATCAAATCCTACCAATTTAGCAATCTAAAACATTTGAAAAGACGTCTTTCACTTCTGTCCAAGCAAATACTTCAAACTTTGCTGGTCTTATCTAATTATAAATCTCTGCCTTTCCAAGTATTGATGCCAATGAAGTGCAGCTAGCACCAATGCCATTAATTCTTTTTCATAGAATGAGAGCTTTTGATGCCTTTCAGCCAACCCCTTGCTAAAATAAGCGTTTGGTTGACCTTCTTGCATAAGAACAGCCCCCAAACCCAATCCACAAGCATCTGCTTCCACTATAAATTGTTTTAGAAAAATCTGGAAGTATGCGTGCAGGTGCAGAACTCAAAACCGGCTTAAGCTTGTTGAATGCTGCAATGGCTGATTGTGACCATTCAAACCCATTCTTCTTGAGGAGAAGGGTTAAGGGCTTGGTTAAAACCCCATAACTCTTGATGAAGCGCCTGTAATATCTTGCCAGCACCAAGAATGCCCTTAATTGCTTAATATTTTGTGGTTCAAGTCAATCAACTCTGCTTGTATCTTCTTGGGATCAGTTCTGACCTTGCCATCTCTGATTAAGTGCCCCAAGTACTCTAGCTTAGTGGTAGCAAAGGATATTTTCTTTTCTTGACAAAGTAATGGTTTTCTCTTAAAATGTAAAAAGCTTGCTTCAAGTGATGTACATGATCAATAATGTTAGCACTATAAACCAAAATATCATCAAAAAAATAAAATAAAATAAAATAAAACAGACTTCCTTAAAAAGGGTCTGAAGATATTGTTCATAGCCTCTTGAAATGTTGTTGGGGCATTAGTTAAGCCAAAAGGCATAACTAACCACTCATGATGACTACTGAGTCTTAAAAGCTGTTTTTGGAACATCTTGAGATACCATTTTGATGTGATGGTAGCCAGCCCTTAAATCAAGCTTTGTAAACCAATGTGCTACGCTCAACTCATTAAATAGGTCTTCTACCAAGGGAATTGGATATTGATTCTTCACAATTTTCTTATTTAACTCCCTATAATCGATACACATCCTCCAAGTGCCATATTTCTTTTTGGCTAACATAATAGGAACTGAAAATGACTTGAACTTTCTCGAACTACTCCATTGTGCAACAATTCCCCCACTAGTCCTTCAATAACATCCTTTTGGGCTGAAGGATATCATTATGGTTTTAAGTTAATGGGATTGGTACCTTCTTGAAGCACTATGGAGTGATCATGGCCCTCTCAAAATGGTGGTAGTCCTTTTGGTGCTTCAACAAGGTCAGAAAATTCCTGTAAAGTACTAAAAAATTTCTTTGGAACTTCTGACCAGGCCTGAACAGAAAAGCATTCGATCTTCTCTTGTCCCTTGGCCACTAATTGTGGCCGTAGAGAGTTAGGAGAGGTAGCTTGAAGCTTGCATAGTTTTCCTTCAAGCCAAAAGAACATAGTTAGTGATTCATAATCCCAAAAAGCGTTCTTAATACTTTTAAGCCATTTAAGTCCTAATACTAAATCATAAGTACATAATTTAAGAATTCTAAAGTCAAAAGTAAATTCGAGCCCTTGCATTCTCCATCTAAAAACACATTTTTTTGCTCTGGTGCTCTGCCTCTTCCTTTGCAGAGAGAATTTTAGGGGATGTATTAACACTTTTTTGATTAAAAGAAGGAGTTTTTGAAGATAAGGATGTTGACTTCCCTTTCCCCTAGGCCCCGTTGATTAAGGCATTCTTGTACGGAGCCCAAGTAGTCTAATGAAATGGCTGTGTGGAGGAAGTTACAAGTGCCACATGCCCACTATTCTTGTGCTGGCTTTTCTTCTCAGCTTGTGTTTTTTAATGTGATTTCTTGCATCCTAGCAAGGCTTCGTGCCTCCCTCATAGTCCTTGGTTTAAACAATCTGACAAGTCCTACAATTTCTTCCAATAGTCCATTGAGATACACGTCAACCAAGTATTCCTCAGATTAAACTAAGCTTACAAGAAATGGTGTCAAATTCATCACTGTAATCAGCTAGTGTCCCTTGATGCTTGACGCGCACCAAATCACTCATAGGTGTCTCGTGTACAAGGCCAAAACAATCTTTTAAGTTCGTCGATACACTCTTCCTTAGTGGGTCACACCCCTCCCTATGACTTTTCATATGCGACGTGGCACTGGAATGCCTTTGGGTCAAGATGCATACTTGCAATCTTGACCTTTGACTCTTTAGGAGTTTCATCGAGCTCAAAGTAGTGCTCACATTTCAGCATCAAGCCTTCAACCTCTTCTAGCGTATACTTAAGGAAGTCTATCTTGGTGAATTGTGTTAGTTAATGATGCCCGTTTTGATCGTGGCCGTTGCGGCAACTCTAATCCTCTAAATCTTGCTCGCGATTCCGATGGTGACCGTTGCATCCATCACCATCATTACTCAGACCACGTTCACGCTTGCACATGAGCATTTACAGTTGATTCGAGATACTCTCAACCAATTCGGTCAAGGTATCTACTTTATCAAAGTTTTCTTCAAGTCGAACCACACTTCCAATTTCTTGTTTGATTTGGTTTCTATCTGGAACCATATACTATCGAGATGAATGAGAGAAGAAGGGGTGGCCGAGGAGCGTCTGCTCTGATGCCACTGATGTATGAGAATAATTCAGACTGGTAGAGATTAGGGAAGAATTAGGAGAGATTGAGAGAAGAACAGGGAAGGCAGGAGAGACAGAGAGGAATTAAGAGGAATTAGAGAGAGAGAGAGAGAGAGAGAGAGAGAGAGGAGAATATGCTTAATAGTACACAAGTCTACATTGATCAATTTTAATGTTTACAATTTGAGTTGTAGGGTATTTATAGGGATAGGAATAATACCCAACGGCTGCTAATGGCCACACATACTAACGCCTATACAAACTAATGTCACTATTATAAAATCATAACAGCTATACATGTTTTACACCGTGAATGATATATGTTGACTTTTATATGATTTTCAGATTCTATGCAGCAGAGGTTGTAATTGGTTTGGAATACCTCCATTGCTTAGGTACACTTTTCAAGATACCTTCACTCTGTATTAAGCTTATGGGTTCAATCTTGCAATACATGTGGTGCATATGCACGTGAGTTTGATCTTAAAAGTTCATATATGTCCCTCTAGCATTTTTTGCTGGGAAGACAAAGATTATTAGAAAAAGTCTTTATTTTCATTCGACACTGTTGCAGCTCATTTTGTTATAGAGAATTAATAAATTATAAAGTGGGACATAGGAATCTTCAATAACTTTAGTAGTGGTTAGTGAACTTTAGATCTAATAAAGATTCCTGAAGGATTTTCTTGTGGCAAGGTGTAAATAAATAATGCCTCATATTTGGACTTCATTCTAGTAAGAATGAGGGAAGAACATACTGAAAGGTAACACAATCTTCATTTTCACAATGAAAATGAGGAAAAGAATAAAGAGTTTATATAACAGTTGGTGATTGTGCTTATTTGGTGCAAGTGTAGCTGTAATAATTGGGAAATCTCATTCAAGGACCCCTGGTGCCTATTATTGGCAAAAAAGGACCCCAAGATTCTGAATTCTCTTTGCTCACCCAAGGGACCTAAATGAAAATAAGATTTAAGGGAAAAAGATGAAAATAGCCTTGTTAAGAGGAAAGGAAGCATGAATACATTCACATATTGACAAGTAACAGTAAGTAATTAACAAGCAGCGAATCAATAATGAATAAGTTAAAAAATCTGATAGGCTTGGTTTAATTTTTTTACAAATGTTGGTCCTATTGCAACAAGCATGCATTCGCATATTGACAAATAACCATAAGTAACTAACAAGCAGCAATCTGATAATGAATATGTTAAAAAATTTGATAGGCCTATTTTAGTTTTTCACGAGTGTTGGTCTTGTTGCAACAAGCATGTATTCGCATGTTGACAAGTAATTAGATGTAATCACCAAGCACCAAGTTCTTCCCTTCAACTATGTTTCCTTTCCTCTCAACAAGACTATTTTCATCTCTCTCCCTTAAATCTTATTTTCATTTAGGTTTCTTGGGTGTGCAGAGAGACTTCAGAATGTTAGGATCCTTTTTCACTAATAATGGGCTCCAAGAGTCCTTGAGTGAGATTTTCCCTAAAATATTTTCAACAACTCTCAATTTTTTCTCTATGTAGATTCTATCATGCCAATTTTCTCCAATATATCTGCAATAGAAACCTAAAACTTTCTCTCTCCCTATAGTCTGATATTGTTAGGATACTGATCTATGTGAAAGTCTAATTTATTAGTTTATTAGTATCTAAAGATTTTCAGTTTACTATTCTCTAAGTCTTATAGTTACCCCTTAAATTATTTTTTAAATTTATGATAAAGATAATAAAAGTTAGTTATCTTCATATTTCTTTATTATTGATGGGTACCTAAGTGAGATGGGAAATCCTATCCTAAAAGCTAGCTATTGAGGTGGGAGAATCAAACCAATTAAATATCCAATTAAGCATCACATACTACTCAATGTAGGATTTAGTATCCATACTATCAAGTATCCATCAATTGCCCCCCCAATAGAAAGGACAACGACTGCACTTTTTAGCACTTAACTCGGTCTCTTACTAGTTATAATCCTCCTGGGTAATCCTTCTTAGAACTACCAACAACAAGACTCTAAAACTAATTGATGAGTACCTAAGTGGGATGAGGGACTCTACCCTAAAAACTAGACATTGAGGTTAGAGAATCAACCCACTTAAATGCCCCATTGAACATCTCATACTACTCAGTGTGAGACTTAGTATCTCATACTACCAAGTCTCCATTAATTATTCACTTTTATCTTTAAAGAGTTTATCTTGTAGTCTGTCAAAGGCAGTTAGGTTGTTAAGTCTGTTATACTTATGTTAAGATTAGAGTGTTATATGACTTTGTTAATACCTTTGTGTACCCTACCAATCATGAATATATAATTCTCTTGCCTATTCTCTTTCATCTGCTTCCTTTCTCTCTGATAAAAGTTAAACTTTACTTTCAAATTAATGATGTAATGGGAAGAGTGTGGGGTTGCTTGTATGGTGTTTGTCTTCAGCCATTGGTTCTACCATGTATTTTACTTTTGTAGATAAGCTTATGATTTACTAAATTTAAGATAAGGTACATGTGACATTATAGAATATACATCATAGCCTCCTCTTTACACTCACATTTACGAAGTTGTTGATATTTATTTCTATGAAGATGATTGTGCATTTGGTATTATGGCTAAGTGTTCTGTATCAAGGAAGTTGCAGGCAAAGCTCCTTATGTGACTTAGGCAGTTGTATCAGTGGAGACCTTTGAATGTTGCAACTTGAAGATTTTGGTACTGGTAAGAAAGTTGTGTTTTATAAGGTGCTAGGTGAGTAAACCAAATAGCGGATACCTTTTGACAAAAGGTTGATGGAGCTGCTATAAGTTAGTTGAAGATTTTCTTTGTTAATGTGAAAAAATATTGAGAGTTTTTGGGTTTGTGAGGAAGTCATTAAGGAAATAATAGTTGCTGAAGTTTTTGAAATGATGGTGTAGGGCTTTGGAATTCAGAAAGTTCGTTCTGATTCATCTAATTTTGAAATAGGAGTAGTAGAGAAGGTAGTTAAATCTAGAAAAGAATAAGTCAATCTCACAAATCAAAGGAAAAAAGGAAATAAATCATAACAAAAATAGCAAGATTTATCATAATTGAAAACTAAAAGGAAAGAAATAAGTTGACTATGATGCTAAAAATCCTGTGTGATAAACAAAGGATGATTAGAAATTAATGAGCTCATAGTGAACCCATAATCATGAAATTCCAATACTCTAATAGAGATTAAAGTGGTATGGGATGCCTAAGTCTAGTAGTATGGAATGCTCTATTTGATATTTGAGTGGGTTGATTCTCCCACCTCAATATCTAACTTTTTATGAAAGGTTCTCCATCACATTTAAGTATCCATCAATTGGTATCAAAGCTAATAGAAACATGTTGCAGGTTTGTAATTCTGAGTGAAAGAGAGAGAGAAGAGAGGAGTAGGGAGACTTAGAGGATCTATGAATAGTGCATGATCATATCATTCAAGGTGAAAACGTAGAGATTACGAAAGGGATTCGCTCAAACTCCATCTAACAACTTACTTTATTCAACTAACTAACTAACATTCCCGTTATTTATTTTGCGCAATTACAATTGTATATCAATACCCACTCCCAGTAGACCTTTGCTCTCAAGGGTCAAGTATAGCAACAAACGGGTACAACTTATAAGAACTAAACGAAGAATGTAGTCATTAATCTTCTGGAAGCTACTGTAATGTATCACGGTTCACTGTTCACCGTTGTTCGATGCCAGGATAATTGAAGCAATCAAAACCATACTTAGCCGAAAGGCACTTTAAGTAATCCTCCTCTATCACGTTCTCTCTTGTCTTGATCTGGTTTTTCTTATTAGCTTGACGCATCAAGGTGATTTCTTGTATTCTTGCAAGACTACGGGCCTCTCATGGTTCTTAGTTTGAATAATTTGACTGGCCCTCTATAATTAATATTCTGACAACCAGTGATATAAGCGTCAACCAAATACTCTTTAGGAAAACAAGCATACAAGAAATGGTATCAAATTCATCATTATATTCTGCTAAAGAACCACGTTGCCTAAGTTGGAGTAAATCTCCCATGGCTGTCTCGCGTGCAGGTCCAAAACGGTCTTTCAACTCTTCTACATCTCTGTCCATGTCGATTCTACCTTTTCCAACATTTTTTTTCAATGGCCACATGCTACTGGAAGGCTTTGGCATCAAGATGCATGCTTACTATCCTGATCTTTGACTCTTCGGGGGTATTGTCTAACTCGAAAAATCTTTCCCTTTAGTATCCACCCAAGAACGTCCGAACATGTGAACTTTAGAAATTCCATTTTGGTAAACCAGGTGGGCCTCCTAAACTCGTTCCCGTTGAACCCACCACGCCACCGGTTATCGCCTGCATCTTGCTCACTGTTACGGCCATTATCATGATGCTCATGGTTTGCCGAGCCTTCTTCTCTGCTTCTGCTTCGCATCTACATCTGCACTTGATCAGAGAGGTTGATAATTTGATCATTGAGAGCATCAACTATCGCGAGCCTATATTCAATTTTGTCGTGTTTTTTTGTCCATCATACGTTGAGTCTTGGAACGCATTTGTACCACCATGCAAGTCTTGAGTCAGAGTCGAGTGCCAAGGACAACCAAGCTTTTATACCACAGTGAGGTTTGTAATTCTGAATTAAAGAGAAAGAGACAGACAGAAGGAGTTTAAAGAGAGAAGAGAGAAGAATAGGGAGACTTGGAACATCTTTAAATAATGCATGATCACATCATTCAAGTTAAGAATATAGATATTACCATAGGCATTCTCTCCTATTTATAACTCCATCTAACAGCTACTTTATTTAACTAACTAACTAACTAAGATTCATGTTATTTATTTTCTATAATTACAATTATATATATCAAAATATAGCTATGAATGGTTCTGATTGGCATTAGGGTCTAACCTATGAGAATGTTGAGTGAATTGTCACTGCATGTAGCCACCAATATGCCCTCTCTCTAAGAGGGGCCAATTGATCGAGATTAAGGAAATATAAGAGGCCTAAATCCCGCATTTAATAGCATGGGATGTTCCTTAGGATGTTTAAGTTAGTTCTCCTAGTGGGATTGGTAATGGATCAGGAAGTTTGCTATTGTATGGGAATCTTGTAATTATCCCTTTTATCACTATCCTTTTGGAATGGTCATTTTGTTGAAGGATTATCCTTTATATTTAGATTTGTCAAGTTTATCTATTATCTTAGTGTCTGAAGTTTTCAATGATATCAATTTTGCCTTGAAGAAGTTTGTTATCATTAGTTTAGTCCCTAAAAGATTCCAATGATATTGATTTAGTCTTAAGTCAGGACTAAAAATGTTTTCATTTTAAAACATTTGGATTCAATTGATAACGATAAACTTCCAAGACGAGGTTGCTGGCAATAATGACTTTCAAGAAAAATTATATTATTTTAGTCATTTTTATTCATATAAATACGACCCTACAATGCTACAAATGTGCAGGCCTTCCAGTTCATCTCACAAAACTTCATTATCTTCTTAATGTATTGGTTGTTACACCAAAGAAGGTTTAGGCAGTAAGCTGGCCTGATAGAGTATATTATGCACTAGAATGAGAAAAAATCATGGTTATCATATTTCTTAAGTGGTCTAATATATTGTTACCCTTTTACTGGCTTTTGTGTAGGTATAATTTATCGAGACCTAAAGCCTGAAAATATTTTACTTCAGAAGGATGGCCATATTGTATTAACTGATTTTGATTTATCATTCATGACTTCTTGTAAACCCCAGGTACGTATCCTTCTTCCTATTTGAGCAAGATTTACTTCTCATTGAAGCTATGGAAAGTTTTGACCCTTATATAATTCAATGTTATCCCTGGCCTTTCCTCTTTAGGATTCTCTTCTAAAAGGAAAGAGGAGGCAATGGCTAATTTCTTTATTTTGAATATTCTCTATCGTCCTAATTTCTAGACCTATTACTCATGGTATGTTGGCCTTGTTAGTAAGTATCTGATTTTAATGATTCTTTAAGACTCATCCTCAAGATTTTTTATCTCTCTTACTGTGAAATTTCAGAATTGTCTTTACATTTCCTTCCTGGAAGTTCCATCCAACTTCTCTTTTCTTAACTACTACAAAATTTATAGATTTATTGTCCTTGTGCACCATCCACCTAGCATGAGAAAATTTATTGTATTCTCCTATCCCTATTTGATGTATTAACAAGCGCTTATGATCATCTTGGTTCTTGAAGTTTTCCCGTGCTATCTTGTTGACTGCTTCTTCTTCATCCTTGCTAAATATATAAAAGTAATCACCCACTCACATTGTTTACCTCGATAAGAAAATTGATTTCCATTTCCATTGTTTACAGTAGCGTTTTGTTACTCTAGAACTTTCTCCATTTAATTTACTTCTTTCATATTTGCTTCATTGTAACATCCACCTGGCATGAGATAACTCTTGTATTGCCTTTACGGTACTTACTCTGGCTACATAGTCATAGTAGGAAAATAACTGGTATTCTAGATGATCTTTTTGCTTTAAAATTGTTGTCTTCTTTAATTAGAAGTTCATCATGCAGATTGTGAAGCATCCTCCACCTCACAGAAGATCGCGGAGTCAACCACCGCCAACATTTGTTGCAGAGCCTAATACACAATCAAACTCCTTTGTCGGAACAGAAGAATACATAGCTCCTGTATGGAAAATTTTGACACTCCTTCGTAATAGTTGTTCGAGTTAACTACATAGATCTTCCTTATAAGTTCCATGAAATCAAATTTATTTCTGATGGAGCCCAAGAACCCAAATATGAACTTGACATCAAATAAATCTAGAGACTTATCTATAAAAGCTATGATATTTTGTTAATAGTTGAAATACTCCCCTCTTCGGTGGGAAGAAAGAGAAAGTAAAGCAGAAAACAGACATACTCACAATGGAAATAAGCTACTGGAAATGATAAAACTAAGCGCACACTCTTAACAAAGCTTACAAGCAGATTACACTCTCAAAGCATAAAAGGAAATGATGAATAAAGATGATCTTCCTCAGCCACCAACCTTGTGTTTGAGAGACAAGCTCTCTCTCACAAAACTACAATCTGCCACCCTTCCACACAAACCTTAAAACCCCTGTAATATTCCTTTCCAATTCTACACCCACACATTGTCTCTCCTCCGGCTCACCAAACTAACGTTCTTGACGGTCAAAAGCACCCAATTCTCTTTCTCGTATACCTTGAGACTCTCTAGCCCAAGAGTTTATGGGTCCATGAGTTTCCTTCTTTTATTCTAAAGTTACACTAACCTCCCTTAATTTTATGGAGATTTTTATGCTTTATAAAAATTTAAAATAGAAGTGCTTAGAAAAGAGAGAAGGATTATGTCATGGTAAAATTATGAAACAGGCGAGTTGTGTGTAGTTTTGAAAGCATTGGTCTTCAAAATTTTGTCAATCCGTGGAGAATTAGTTGTTATTTTCTCAAGCAATGACCACAACTGAATTATATTATTCTTTTCTATTATTCTGATACTCATTATCATTCAAGCCTCATCAAAGTACTTGATTTCAGGAAATTATTACCGGATCTGGGCATAGCAGTGCTATAGATTGGTGGGCTCTTGGTATACTATCCATTCCTTGTCTGCATAATAACTTTTGTTCCTGTGCTATGCTTTGCCAGTTATGTTGTTTGACCGTTCTAGGGAGGTTTTTTTTTTTTTTTACTTTTTTTAATTTTGGCGGGCGAGGGGGGGCGGCGGGCGGGGAGGGTTGAGAGAGAGAATTTAATTAATCTTTGTTGGTTTGGCATGTTCTCTTTTCAAGGAAATTACTCTTTCTCACATGCAAAGATATTTGAGAACTCTTCTACACTAATTGGACTTACCTGGGTTTTTTCTTTTTTTATTTGTTTTGCTTCAGCTCTGTTTTGGAGACTTGTTTTTTCTGGTTTGAAGATATCTTGTTCTCCAAAATTTTGTCCTTACGTCTCTTTCTACTACAAAATCTCCTATCCAAGAAAAGACTTCCATAACTTTTGTTTTTATGCTTTAAATTTAGGTATATTATTGTACGAAATGCTCTATGGTCGTACACCATTCAGGGGAAAGAATAGGCAGAGGACATTTGCCAACGTCTTGCACAAAGATCTAACCTTTCCAAGTAGCATCCCGGTAAATGAAAGTTGTTCCGCATTCTCAAATGGGCATTTCCTTTGATAAAATTCTATTTGGAAAAAAAAAAAAAGGAAGGGAAGGAAAAGATATTTTGAGTTGATACACAATTTTTTATCATTTGACATTCACAAGCACAAAACATCACCTAATTTAGGTTCATAAATGTGCAGGTAAGTCTTGCAGCCAGGCAGTTGATTAATGCACTATTGCAGAGAGATCCAGCCAACCGTTTAGGTTCAACTACTGGAGCTAATGAAATCAAACAACATCCCTTTTTCCGTGGAATTAATTGGCCTTTAATCCGTTGCATGGTATTATTATATTAATTCTTTTATTAATTTCTCTTTGGAATGGTGACTGTAAAGATCTTTATAGTTTTTGAACACAACCTAAACTGGCTGCTATTTTTCAAAATTAAAAAATAATAATAGTAATAATTCAAGTTGGAAGGTTGACATTTTTGCAGTGACTGGTCTGACTTGTGTATTTGTATGCAGAATCCACCACCTCTAGAGGCTCCTCTTAAATTGATAGGGAAAGATCCAATGCATAAAGAAGTGAAATGGGAAGATGATGGAGTGCTTGTTCGCTCAATGGATTTGGATATCTTCTGAAGTTTCTTGACATTGGTAACTCACAACTCAGACAATTCAATTTCAATAAAGTTCAATGGATTCCCTTTATGTCACAGAAACATTTGGATGTAATCTTATGTAATGCAGTGCCTCTAGCCATGTTGTCGTTATAGCTAATTGCCAACTTCTGATGTGGCAGTAGAAAATGATAACCAAATATGAAGACTAATTATATAGGATGACTATGATGCGTGTATCACTTTAAAATGCAATGTTAAATTTCGGGGCAGGGTATTTGCTTTGAGCCTTTGACGACCCTGCTTGCAGCCTACACGGCACACACTTGGGTTATATTTCTCCATCAAAATTTCCTGTTTCTTCCATGAACCTCTAATTGTTAATCCTTGTTTAGTCACCAAAGTTGACAGCATCAACAATAGATCTCATGCTCAAGCTTAAAACATGTTAAGGTTGTTCAATGTGGAGAAGGAAACAGATAGTCTTGAGCCTTATTAAAAGGAGTAGAGAAAGACTAAAAAGAATATTTATGGAAATTGTTGAACAAAATCTTTTGGTTAACAATATTTCTAAAAGCTTGGTTAATGATAGAATACAATGATGACGTTTAATTTATATAGCTGAACATACTTATTGAAATAAGGTTTGTTTTTATTGTTGTTGTTGTTGTTATAGCCAACCCCGAAGAAAAACGTGGTGGTGATGATAATGATGACATCATCATCGTTGAAACATCCCTAACTTATACACTGAATTTTAATCCATTTAGATACATTTTAATATAAAATCTAACCTATTTAAACCCTGATTATGATAGAAAAGAGGTTACCATAATAATCAGAACAAACAACTCCCAATTATGCACCACTAGTCATATGAACGAAAACATTTTTCCAATACTCAAATGTTCAAAATATTTTATATTGTGTTTTGAAGCACACAACTTTAATTCGAACACATTTTTGAACACAATTTAATCATATTTGGCAACACAATTTTTTCCAAACACATGTAACCATTTCTAAACACATACTTTTATAATACAATAAATTACAATAAAAATTCACATCATCATTTACAAGTCACAAACCTTGATAATGTAAAAGCAGTTACTTTTATTCCTTGCAAGCAAAGCTTTCCTAGCTCGTGAATGACTACCCTTTATAATGTCAACACCATAGTCTACACAACACATAATTGCTAATTATCATGAATGCACACTAATTGTGGCTAATCATAGTACTTAAACACTAATCAAATGCTAATCCAAGAGTTAGGTTAATTAATCTCTTTAACCTTAACGCCTCCCATACATATAAATCATGATTTTTGGACTCATAAATCCTCATTATATTCTTCATTCATAGATTCAACGTCTATATTTCAAAAATCATCCTCAAATTATCACTTATAAATCTAGGGTTTCAAATTTAATCATACCATAGTTGCAAACAACATCAAAATTACCTAAACAACCTTTGTTTAATCTCAAACAATACTTCAAATTCAAGTTTATGGGCTAAGTAACTCTAAAAATGGAACCCTAGCATTAAACACTAAATAAACTACCTTAAAGAGGATTTTAGAAGATAAAAGGAAGATTAAACAAGCTTGCATTAATGATTAAGAGTCATCAATTTGGACCTTAAGGTTGGGAATCTCAAAATCTCTCCCAATTTGTGTCTGTCATGAAGACAGACTAATAAAATTAGTTTCTATATTGTGCATCGCGACACATAATACAAAAACAATGCACTTCATTTATAACCCATTATTGGGACCTAATTCGACCTAATACCTAATTTGGACCCTATTTAACCTCCATACATATCTCTAAGCCTATATTAGCCCATAATTAAATACCTAAACCACCAATAAACCTTGATTATCCTCAGATACAATTCATTTTCTCAATTAAACCTCAATTTTAATTCCCTAATAGCCCAACAAATTAATTTCCTAATAAAAATGACAAACTTAGTGAAAAAGTTCTCTTTATTATTTCACTATTATCATTTACAGAAGCTAGCTATGCTATTTATAAGAGTACATCAACATAGAATAATAAATGATATATTAATCTCTAACCACCAACTAATCTATTTATTAAAAAAATAAAATAAATTTACACTATTTAACTACACATTTTAACACTCCCCCTCAAGCTGGAGAGTAGATGTCATTCATTTCCAACTTGGATGCTAATGTATGAAAATGTTCACTTGATAATCCCTTTGTGAGTATATATGCTAATTGATCACCAAAAGGTATGTAGGGAGTATAGATTAGACCACTTTCCAACCTCTCTTTGATAAAGTGTCGATCAATTTCAATGTGCTTGGTCCTATCATGTTGTACAAGATTATGAGCAATGTTGATAGCTGACTTCTTGTCACTATAAAGTCTCATTAGACCTTCTCATTTGATTCTCAAATCTAACAAAATTATCTTCACCCATAACAACTCACAAATTCCAAGTGCCATAGCTCTAAACTTAGCTTTAGCACTAGATTTAGATACTACATCATGCTTCTTACTCCTCTAAGTAATGAGATTTGAGCCAAGAAACGTACAATATCTTGATATAAACCTTCTAGAATCCATATCCCCTCTATGATCTACATCCGTCCATGCTTCAAGAGTCAATTTTTTCCTTCTTTTGAACAAAATGCCTTTTCCTAAAGTACCCTTCTAATACTCAAGTATGCAATAAACCACTTGTAGATGAGGTTCTTTAGGATCATGCATAAATTGACTTACCACTCTCACTGTGTAGGTAATGTATAGCCTAGTGTGATCTAGATAAATCAATTTTCCAACAAGTCTTTAATAGGATTCCTTATTGACAAATGGCTCTGGAGGAGGAGGTTTACTGGGCTTATGACTATTTTTCAGTTTGCTAGGGCATTTTCCTACCTTACAAAGTCTATGATTTTGTTCAATTAGAGCATCCATCAATTTGCACCCCAATTTTCTTGTTTCAGTGAGAAGGTCAAGAATATATTTATGTTGGGATATGAAGATGCCATTCTTAGAAAGCGCCACTTCAATGCCGAAGAAATATTTCAACCATCCTAAATCTTTCATTTGAAATTCTTTCATCAGTTGACTTTGTAGTGACTGAATCCCTTTTAAATCACTTCCTATTACTATGATATCACCAACATAAACAAGTAAAATTATTACACCCCTTAAAGAAGAATATTTGATGAACAAAGTGTGATCGCCTTGACTCTATTTGAACCCCATGTCAACCATGGCCTTTGAAAACCTGCTAAACAATGCCCTTGGCGATTGTTTCAAGCCGTACAAAGCCTTTTTTAGCTTGCAAACATTACTAGAAGGAAGAGAGAACTAAATCCAAAAGGAATCTCTATATAAATCTCTTCCTTCAAGTCACCATGTAAGAATGCATTCTTCACATCAAACTATAGCAATTCCCAGTCATAAAGAGTTGCTAAAGATAATAAAATATGAAAAGTCTTCATTTTCACAACAAAAGCAAAAGTTTCTTCATAAATGTCTGAGTATATCCTTTGGCAACAAGCCGAGCCTTGTATTTATCTAAAGAACCATCAAAATTGTATTTTCCTCTTAGCCACCCTATGTTGTTAGGGAGTATTAACACATGGTGATTCGTGTAGAATTCCATATGTATCAAAAAATGTGGACAATGATTGATTTCAAAAAAATCTTTTACATTGTCAAACCTAAACCTTTGTATCCCAACTCCAAATTGAGTTTTAATCATATTATAAAAAGTGAGAAAAATAGTACTAACATCAGATTTTTGTTTTAGCAAATAAATCTATATTACACGGGTGTAATCTTCAATAAAGGGCACAAACCATCGAGACTCAATAACATTAGGGACACTAAAAGGATCCCAAATGTCACTATAAATCAAGCTAAAAGGAACAAAAGTTCTTTTATTTCTCATAAGATATGAAGATCGTTTATGTTTTGCAAACTCACAAACATCATAATGAAAGGACTCAACAGGTACATCTTTAAACCAAGAAGGAAATATAGTTTTCAAAACATTGAAAGAAGGGTGACCCAAATGACGATGATAAAGTCAAATCTGATTTTTTCTAGACTTGACTCTTTTTGATTGAGAAAACAAGGAAGCTATCAAGCTTTGAATCCTACTACATTCACTAGGCTCATCAAAAAAATAAAGTCCATCTCTTTTTTCAACAAGTCCAATCATCTGATTCATTTCTCACTCCTGAAAAAGACAAGAGGGAGAAGAGAATAGGACATAACAATTAGAATCAGTAGCAAGTTTTTTCATAAATATAAGGTTAATGCATAGTTTAAGAACATGTAAGACTTTTTTAGGAGAAGACTACCACTCAATCTGACGTCCCCTTGACTAGCCACAGTAGCTACAAACCCATCATCCCACATGATTTTCCTAGTACTAGGACATGGAATATAAGATACGAAATTCTTGGAGGAATTTGTGAAATGGTTTGAGGCTCTAGAATCCATAACCCAAGAGTGAAGAAAATCTTATTTTGAGGCAATAAATACAAATGAAAATAAAACAAATGAAGGCTGAAAGGAGATACTTGAAAGCCCTAAAGAACAATACATGTGCCAGAACTAGAAGTAGTCACTTAATCAAGTGACTTTAGCATAGATCATAGTTTCACAATCTCCCCCTTAAGGTCAGTTTGACTAGAATTCTCCCTAGTAGAATTAGTGATCACATAAGCTTGCCCTTTTTTCATATTTGGAGGCTTACCATTCAACTTTCAATACTTCTCCTTAGTGTGCCACAGCTTCTTACAATGAGAGCATCGAATAGGTTCTTTCTTGGAAGAGTTCGCTCACTTCTCATTTTTCATAGAATAAGAAGCAACATTCCTTAAAACCAAGGAAGAGCTTTCCATAGATAGAGTTTCTATCATTACTCCTTGACAGCCTTCTTCTATTAATGCAATGGCAATGGTCTCATTAAGAGAGGGAACATCTTCCTAACTAAGAATTTAAACTCTTACAGGACCAAATTTTGATTTAAGCCCAGCAAGATACTCAAAAATTCTTTGCTTCTCAATGAAGCATTTAAATGTAGTTGCATCATTAGGATCTTTCAAAGTAATACATTGATAGTGGTCCAATTCTTGCCACAAACTCTTTATAAGGGTAGAGTATTTAGCGACAGATTTACTGCCCTGTTTGGTATTGGAAATCTTAGTTCGTATCTAATAAATTGGGTAGCATCCTTCACCTTCGAGTAAGTCTAGTGCGCCATATTCCAAATCTCCTTAACTGAGGACAAAAACAAA